TTCACAGAAGCAGGATTGATGGATCAAAGGATATGCGCATTTGCAATGTAATAGATATTGCCAACTGCCTTGCATAAAGATGGTACCAATTTACATTCATGCCACTTTCTATCTTTGATAATTTGATGGATGAAAACATTGTATCTAAGTATAGTCTCATTTGCATTTCTCTTAATATGAGCAAGTAAGAACATTTTTTTCAGAGGAGCCATCTGTATTTCTTTTTCTGTGAACTGTTTTTTCCATTTTTATCCAATTTGGTATTAAGTGCTAATCTTTTCTTTATTGATTTGTTGAAGCTCTTTACATACAAGTGAAATTAGCTCTCTGCTTATGAAATGAGTTGTAAATATCTCCCAGTTTTTTATTTATCTTTTAATTTTGCTTTTGGTATTTTTACCATGCAGAAGTTTTATACTTATATATAATCAAATTAATCATCCCTTCTCCCATGACTTCCTTATTCCAGGATTATTTTATCCTTTATAGCATCAGCTTTTTAAAATATTTATTATTTGCTTTTATTTTCTTTGGTAGAAGACATCAAACAAAAATCAAAACTAATTTGTTTAACAAAAGCCTGCCCAATTGTCCACATAACTTTTACTGAACTAAGCTTTGGCGAGAAGAAAAACAAGGTCTGGAAAGAGGAATAAATAAGCTTTGGCAAGAAGAGAAACAAGTGCAGAAAATCAAAAAAGCCCAATTTAAAAGAGTGAAAAAGAGTCCAAATATGCCAGTGGTTACAAGAACTGTGAACACACCTGCTTACAGACAAGGATTATCAGATTGAATTTAAAAACACAATCCAGGCATATACTAAATGTCACTCTTATACACTACCTAAACTAAAACTATATTCAAAATTAAAAATAAAGGAATCTATAATGGCATTTCATGAAAATACTTATCCACAAAAAAAAGGAAAAAAAGCTGGAATGGCAAAACTAATAGCAAACAAAATAAATGTAAAGCAAAGATTTCATCACTTCTCGGCCTTTTGGCTAAGATCAAGTGTAAAGCAAAGATTTCTAGGAATTAAAAAGTGACATCATATATACACATGGCTGAAATTTTTTTGCTGAAAGGGTCTACCATTTTCCATTTCCCAAAGCAAAGCATGAGTACTCTTCCCAGCAAGCACTCCACTGTAGGGCAGTATCAACCTCTTGTTTATATTTGCTGACTGGATAAGCAAAAAGAAAAAGGAATCTTTCTGTAGTTTAATTTCAAAGCCCATATTCTCCCTAACAGAGCAGCAACCATGCAACAGAACTGATGTTGCGTGATCAATGGGGAGCCCTCAGCCCAGGGAAGCAGAAACTCCTCCTGTAAGGGCCCACAGGGACACTCAGCCACTGTGCAGCGTCCAGAGAGAAGAAGGGCCCTCCAACTCTTTCCTCAGCACTGAGCTGGCTGGAGGTCCAGCTCCACCCGGGTCGTCCCCCTTGGTCTACATCTACTCTGTATTCATTCTCAGCAGCTTATTTCATTTCTGCACAGCACAGAATTTACTTTCTATACACTCTCAGCAAAGCTGTTCAGGACCCCGAGGCAGCAAACAAGAATAGCTCCCAACAAGCATGCCGAAGGACCAATTGCCCTTCAGTTTCACACAAAACTTTCATTAAGAACTCTTGACTGGAGTCAGGTGCAGTTAGCAATTTCCAGAAAAATCTCCAATGTATTTTCCCTTAAAGCAGAGCAAGAAAATGGTTTCTATGAAATTCAGTAGAAAATTTACTGAAATTGATAATAAAAATTCTTTGAATTTATGAACAAATGACTCATCCATGCCAGGCACCTTGCTGGAGCATTTCACAGTGTGTTTTCTGATCTAATTCTCAAAAACAATCCATTTGGGTAGTATCATTGACCCAGTTTCACTGACAGTCTAACTGAGCACCAGAGAGTCATCTGCGCCTTGCCCAGTTCCAAAACCCAAAAAGAGGACAAGCCTCAAACCCAGACCAGTGCATCTGCAGGGAGCTCCGACGCAGTCCTGTCATTCATGTCATCAGCATGGTTCGGAGTGAAAAAAACAATTTATCATTAACCTGCCGGGATCATTTAGCATACTCTGTGTAATAAAGACCTTAGAAAAAAAGCACACATTATGATTAATATGTGCAGAAATTTCAGATTCAATATTTCTAGTCATATTCTGGAAAATTCTAATGTGCAGTTACAGCAACAAGCAATTCAGTAAAGACCGTTAATCATTTCAAATGGTGCTGGGTTCAGGTGATATTATTCCCTGACAGACTGGGCTCCTGGTTCCCGTGCTTTTGCTGAGGCAGCTGCTCTCATTTGATGCTTTAGAAAGATTTTTTTGATTTATAGTTTGAAGCTAAAATTACCAAAGAGTTTTAAAAGCAGTAAGAAAGCCATATGCATCTTTCTGTCATCATCTCAAAACACTTCCTTTCATTTTGCCTCCATTTTTGCCTGAGTGGCTGGAATCACAGGGTCTGATAAAAAGAAGAAAGATAACAGCTTACCATGAAAAACATCACCAAACAATATGAGATGTTTTAAAATCATGAAGTGACAACAACACAACCCAAACCCCTTTGGTTTCTATTCTCACTTCCAGAAAAATGAGTGAAGAAGGCAAGGCAAAGAGCACCGCCGTGTGTGCATGTGTGCATGTGCGTGCGTGCATGTGTGTGTGTGGGGGGGTGTTCTATCTGCTCTCCCGCCAGAGCCACGTCCTATTTACCAGGGCCTGTACCCATGCAGAAAAATGAAAACAGACTCTGCTTGCCACAGGCCAGAAACCAGGTTCCTTTTATCTGCCATTGCATAACTCCTAGAAACATGTTCCTCAAGGAAGTCATCACTCACACGGATGGGTTTAGTTTTGCTTTTGTAAAGCATTCCCCCCAAAGAAAAAAAGAATATCAGTCTCTTTTAAATTCTACAACAAGGGGCTTTTTTTAAGCAGCAAAAACATACTTGGCAATTTTGGGCCAGATCACTTTCATTATTACGGTTTTTTTTCTACTTTTTATTGTGGTAAAATACACATAAAAATTACCATCTTAACGACTGTAAGTGACATTATTCAGGTTTTTAATATAAATAAGTAGCTTTAAGAATACAAGAAATTTTCCAAAACATTTCTCTTTTCCAGGTATGTAAATGTTCCTGCTGTTTCAGGAGCCGTGAAGACTTCCTGCTGCATCCTCAGCATCAAGGTTTGCCTGCTTCAGCTCCCGGGGCGTGAAACAAGCTCAGATCGAGTGGGAACCTGCCGTCTGAACACTCGGTTTTTCCACAGGCAGTGTGACTTAGATAAATTACTTCCGCAGATCGTTTTTCAAAGTCTTATTTTATCCTCACATTTACCAAATCTCTTACTAACACATTATTGAAAAAGGCAAACTTGCTTTGAATTTCACATCTATTCAGTGTTTTCTTTGAAGAGTGGGGGTGGGTAGATAGGGCCAAGATGTAAAAAACATTAAGGACGAACAGAAAAACGCTTAAATGAATACAAAGAATCAGTAGTTAGTTCTTTGAATAATCTAGAGTTGACATATGAGAGAATCAAGCCTGTAATTTTCAGCTGTAAAAAAACAGCTCTATGAAGGTAACAAGCAACAAAAACAAGATAAAGTTCTGAAAATTGTTCTCACTCCTTTGGGTCCTGTTCACAGACCTTACCCCCCAAATCCTATAAATTTTTCATTAAGGCTTCTAACTATTAAATGCTAGTACTTCCCGTGGCAAAGAAAAATACAAATCAATAGTTAATCACATGTTAAAAGCACAGCAAATTCTTTGAAAAATTCTAAAGAAGCTCCTGCTGTTGAAATAAAGGCAGTTTTTTTGATGATGAAGAAGAAGAAGGAGGGGGGAGAGGGAGGAGGAGGAGGAGAGGAAGAAGAAGAAAAAGAAGAAGGGCGAGGGGGAAGAGCAATGCAGAGGTAATGCACTTTGATTAAAGATCAAGCAGTAAACTGAAGTTTAAAATTGAGCTCCATGTACACTGTTCCTCAGACATACCATTCTGGCATGTTGTAAATTACAGGGCACTTCTGGCTGGGAATAATAGGCCAAGATAGGCCAAGCCCAGAAAGGGCTGGTGGTCAAACATAAGTCAACTACGCTCAAAAGAATTTCTCTAGTATCTGCCTACAAAATGCAATTAGCTTAGCTCTACACTAAAATTTGCTTTTAAGAACACAGTTCAAAGTTTGAGTCTCTTTTCTTGCTATCCATTTACAATAAAATATTTGTAGAGATTTGACATCCTTTGAACATAAGTATCTCAGTTGCAACACGCATCATGTCCATTCAACTTTACAAAGTACATTTTAATCAAAGCTACACATATTTTCTGACTTTTAAGCGCCTGGAGACTCGAAATAGTTGTTACAACATGGAAAAACATGATACACAAGCGATCTGTTATCAAATGTAAGCCTGAGTCTGATTCCTTTTTGTATTTGAGGCCCATTTGACATAAGTAGTTTCCTCTGCCTGGAAATTTTAAATCAAGTACCAATCGGAAATGGTGCTCTGGAGTCTCTGCCAGAGTAGGCTTCTTAGTCTTCCTGTCTGGTCTTAGCCAAAACCTTACTTAGCACTACTCAGCTGCAACTAAATCTTTCAAAGCAATTTTAACATCTCTCTCCTTGTCAAAACCTTATATCTACAGAGCTGATGCTATAAATAATAATGGGTGATGGGTTAGGTTAAAACTGGACCTTCTAGTTACAAAATAGTACAGCACAGAGCATATGGTCAATAATATTGTGATATCTATGTACAGTGCCAGGGGGTACTGGGAATACTGGGAGGATCACTTTGTGAAACACATGATTGTCTAACCACTGTGCTGTACACCTGAAACTGGAATTCATACAAAATAATACTGAATATAAACTGTAACTAAAAAATAACATTTAAAAGTACTGAACCTTCAACTATCCAATTCTTGGTTTGCATTGTTCACTTTATTAAATTATGAAATCAAATGAAAAAAATCTCACCTTGTGATGCCCAAATTCATTCAAAATAGTTCCCAATTTTCTGGTGTTGCTGTGTAGTTTCTGGGCAGCAACAGCTGGATGGGGGTCGCGCCAGTTGATGGACAAGCGGTGATACCAAAGGTGCTGACTCTCCAGAATGTGAGCCGATTTAACACTAGGGTCGAAACGATGCACTTCACACCCGTTGTTGGCCATGCTGACCTCAAAATGGGTATCATCACTTCCCAGCCTATAGAAAAAGAGGAGGATGGAAATCAACACACAGACAAAAACAAAAACAAGAGAACACATGTAATAAAGTGAAAAACTGCTGGGTTGATAAAAATGACAGTTCCAAGGCCAAGTTTCTTAGTTATAGCAAGACTTCTATTTTAACACGTGGCTAACTATACATATTCACAAAAATTGCACTCTAACTGTACACAAAAAGCGTTATAGCTAAAAGCTTCTGGATGAAAGAAAGAAGAGAAACTATCTACTAAACAAACACAGACCAGAGAATCACATGCTCAAACATGTAGAAGAATATCTAAAAAAATGTTAAAGATGTAAACCATAGCAGCAGTGAAACAAAGACTATCCAGCTGTCTTCAGAGATTTCCTCATATATGTCGAAAACATAAGCCCTGGGGTCAGTTCCCGTAGGGACAGAGAGGTACCGTCTGCTGATGAGGTCATTTGTCTCCATTCTAATGGCCGCAGTGCTGTGCATGCAGTTTGACTTACAGGCAGCAGCTGTTTTCTTAGAAACTGCATTTTAAAACAGCATGTAAAGCAAAAAAAGACAAATGTCTGTGGTCCTACTGGATCTAGTACTCAAGAAGCAGAAGAGGCACCTCACCTAAAATTCTCACCAACAGGAGAAAGAATTTATATTTAAGTACCCAATAGATGGCACATTATGTGGGAAATTCATATACTTGCCAATTTTTAATTTGTTCAAAAGTATTCCTTATTTAGTGATACATATAAGGTTCATCACTTTGATTAAAGCATCAATTTGAATGATGAAATTAACTGAGAGAAGATTATTTTTTTAGCGGTGAGTATGCCTTCCCTGCCCAAAATTCTATAATTAGATGTGACTTAAGCTACCAATATCCCATGGAACACCTGTAAAACATCCACTGAACCTGGACCCAGTGCAGAAGTGCTCTACTCTCTTAGACTCTACAGTTGCAGATTATTTCATAATTTAGAAATATACCAGTTCTTTGGATAACAATCATTTACCTGGTTCTAGTTAACTATAAAGTAAGTTTTCAGTATGGAGATCCTCCCCTTAGACATTCTTAATACTCTCATTTGCCTCATCCTCTCCCTTCACTCCCACTGTGCTGCTCTCTCTTCACTGGGTCTGCCGCGCGTCAACTCTCTACCGTCCCCGCAGTTATAAGTCTCTCCGTCCTCTTGGCCAGGAAAAGACTCAGCACTCCTCCCACAAAACCTCCCATTCCTTCTACCCAAGACATCCTGTGTCCTACTTTCAACCTCCTACTGAACGCACACGGTTCACAACACTGTCATCTCCACTGAGTTTCCCACGTTCTAATCTGGTGTGGCAGAATGACTGCGTAAGAGTAGGAGAGACGGATGTGGCACTGTTTTAGGCCCTTGTTATTCCTTTTAAAATATTCCTGAGAGTACTAAGGTGAGTGTCCTCTATGTTCCCCGGGAATCGAAAACTCAGAGCATAAATACATAAAAAGATGGTCAAGATCATTAGCCAACAGAGAAAAACAAATCAAAACCTCAAAGAGATACCACTTCCCATCCACTAGTGGCTCTAAGGTGGCTCTTTTTTAAAGCTAGAATCAAAAAGACCAATAATACTGTGTTGGCAATGATGTGGAAAAGTTGCAACCCTCATACATTGTTTCCAGAAATTTAAAATGGTATATATCCAAGAGAAATGAAAACAAATGTCCACACAAAAACTTACACATGCATTTTCATGGCAACATATTCACAAGAGCCAAAAAGTATAAACAACCTAAATGTCCACCAACTGTTGAGTGAATAAATGAAATGGAGTCTATCCATACAATGGAGTACGATTTGGCACTTCAAAGGAATGAAGTTCTGATATGTGGTACAGCATGGGTGAACCTTACAAACTTTGTGTAAAATGAAAGAGCCAATCACAAAAGGCCATGTGTTTTATGCTTCCATTTTTATGCAATGTCCAGAACACGCAAGTCTATAGAGACAGACAGTAGATTAGTGGTTGCCTAGGACTATGAGGCGGAGCGGGGAAAGAGGGTTGGGAAGAAATTGAGAGTGCTGCCATTGGTACAGGCTTCTCTTGGGGGAGTGACAAAAATGCTGTAAAAATTACTACAACAACCAAAAAACATTGAATTGCACACTTTAAATGAGTGAATTGTGAGGTATGTGGATTATATCTTAATGAAGTTGTTAAAAAAAACTTAAAAAATAAAATCAGAGCAGCTGTAGAGAAAGTTTTAACCCACACCATTGAGGGCAGAAGGGTTGAAAGAAATATGAAAATTAGCATTTTTTCCTAGCAGTTTCAGTAGTCCATTCTTCATTCCAGCAGGGACCAGAGAATCTGGCAAATGATTATCTATCTTGATATAGATAATTAGATTATCTATTATCTAATTATTAAAGTGATTACAATTAGATCTATAAACAGCCAACTACTAGAGGGAGAGAAATTGGTTTTCCAAGGCATAAATGACATTGAATAGTGAATAAAAATATTTTATAATTATTTAATTTTCTTAAATAACATGGTATGAAATGCCAAGATTTATTTTTTTAATATATTCTATGATCTTACCCCTAAGGAGGCAAAAACTGATTTATGAGAGAAAAAAATCTTCCTCTTTTTACACATAAAGCACAGATACATATGGTACATAAATAGATTATAGTATATCTATGGTATTAAAATTTCATGGGACTGATTAGGAGACAAATTATCTAAAAGTGTCCTTGGTTCCATGATTTTCCGATTCCTCATTCATATACACTATAAGCGCCTGTATTAATTAAACTATTATAAGATGGAAATTTTGGCTCTGGAGTTCAGTCATTGCTCCTGACGGCAAGTTTGGTCGCTGGACTTCATGGCAATGGGAAGTCCAGGATTTCCTATGTGAAATACTGGCTCTAGTTGCCTTATTGTGTGTCATCTATCAAATCTTCTTCTGTCTGATGCTGAGAATTAATGTCTTGAAGCCAAATGGTGCATGCCACCCTCTGGAGCACTAAAGAAGAGATGAGAAATATTTGCCTGTGTGTTACCCCATCTCCAATTTTTCCTTCCACTCTCACGCCTACCCCTGAAACACAGTCTTCCATATGAAGGAGGAAATAGGGGACGTTTCCCACTTCACTGTAGGCACCGCCCTCGACCCCCCACCCACGCCCACCACCAGCCCCCACGGTCCACACAGGAAGACCGGCAGGCAGACTCGCCTGGTTGATTCTACTGCGGTAGATGACATATCCTCGGAATCCACGGCCTCTTGTCTCTCTTGTCGTTCCCCTTCTCCATAACATAATGTTCCTTTTCAGTGCCTTTCCTTTCTTAGTCCATGTAACTGACATGATCTGATTTTAATTTTCAACTGAACTTCACACACAGGTCACTTTCCCAGAAAAAAAAAAAAAAGCCTTTTACATTAACTATACTATAAAAAGCTTTGGCTCCTAGTCAAACATCAGAGAGAAGGTGGAGGTGACACCTGCTCCAGGCCTCAGGGGTACAGGGAAGGCAGGAGACAGATGAGAAGGCAGGGGGCTCGCCCTCCGTGCAGCCGCACCCGCTGGCGTCCTCGTGTCCTCGTCCTCTGTTAGGACGGAGACGACTGGGCACAGCAGTGGTGCTGCCGCCACAGCCCTGGGGCTTGGGGCACGGACTGCCTGGGTGTCGGGGAGTATGTCCCCTGCCGCACCCCCCTCTCTGCCACCTGCACTCGCACCCACCTCATAACTCTCCCAACACTCCCAGTGCTGGGAACCCACGCCCCTCATTTCTGGAGCACCACCCCTGCCCTGGGTTTCTTTCTTCCTTCAGCATCATTTGAGATGCTGTCAGCCTGGGCTTTATCTGCCCCTCAAGCAGGCAATTCACCGAAAAGTGGGGGATGCTTGTCTAGACCCTAAGCCCTGGGTAACGGTGTGATCAGCACATATATCCACAATCCCAAGCATCCTTTTTTAGGGCATAAGAAATATTTAGCTCCCAGTTTTCAATTAAGCATTTTCAGGTTTTGAATCAAATGTTGGCCCTCATAATCTATGCATTTCTATTCCCAGTAGAATTCAACTGTTCTCATCTGCTCTTTACAAAGTTGATTTTGAATAGTGAACATTTAAATGAAAATAAGAAACTACCCTTGCATGGCATAATGTAAAATCATACAGCAGAACTCTTTTATCTAATAGCTCAGAAGTATAAGGAAAGCAAAAAGAAATTTTACAAATTTCTCCAAAAACAGCCTTCCCAGTTTCATTTTACTCAGTTACATGCTTTCAATGAAATTATTCCAGGGTGTCAAATACCAAGCTGGGCTGCGGGTTCAGTCCCCAGTCGCCCACGTATGGTGTGCGGGCAGCAACTGGCCGAGGCTCCTCTCTCACACCGGCGGCGTTTCTCTCGCCCTCTCCCTCTGCCTCTGCCTTTTCATCTCTCTCCCGTCCTGGCCTTCTAAAATCAATATATGTATCCTCAGGTGAGGATAAAAAACCTCTCTCCTCTCTTCTTTGAGACATATATAATTTGTGACTTCAGAACTGTGTAACTTGAGTACTGGTGTATTTGGTGAAAAAAGTTTCATTACCTTATATTCACCCTTTTACAAAAAGCTCACTAAATCCATTCGTACATTTAGGTAATCTCAGGCTGATAACTGAATATCAACATTTCCCACAGTTTTGACAAAATCTCATGGTTTCATAAGAGGTTTCTTTTCTTTCTTTCTTTCTTTCTTTCTTTCTTTCTTTCTTTCTTTCCTTCTTCTTTCTTTCTTTCTCAACGTAAAAATATACACAGATTCACCATTGTCACAAAACATAAAAATTCAACAGCGGCCATTTGCCTTGGGTCACTCATCATAACCGAGTATGAAATTTCTAATATCCTTACTGTTCTTCCTTGTTTCTAGGTGCATTCTTAATTATTTTCCCTCTCTTTAAAATCAGGATGCTCTAATTCTAGCTGGATATCATTGACTTCACTAAAAGGATTCATCATTGTGCTGAAAATTGAAGTTGCCACCTTCTGACCTGCAGAATGAGAGACATGGTGGCCCTGGCTCCTCAGGCGATCAGCGAGTACCCCAGGGACATCCCACACAGGTGAGCCCGACGACGCGGGAGGAGCAGCATGGCACCTGCTGGGCACTGCATCCATTCATAACTTTGTGTTGCTGAAAGACCTTGGCCACCTGCAGGACTGTTTTTTGTTTTCTTCTGCTATAAAACATACTCACCCTAAAGAGTAGAGACGGCACCGCTTGTTGCGGATTTGATGAGCTAAGCCAAACCTGTCATCAAGACAAACCGACCAGGGCTTCTTCGCAGGGCTGGCGTTGGTGGCCAGGTGGTCTGTGCTCATGTGATCACATGCAATCTGTAGGGAGAGGACATCAATGTGAACAACTTAAAGCGTTGGGTGATAAATGGCAGGTAGGGATTTAACTGCTTCCCTGGTGCCTGAAAACCATAACAGGAGAGTTATGTCCTTCCGCACTGCTAACTAGCCCTTCCCCAGGGAAACACAGACTGCTGTAAAATGTGCAGAGGAATTCCAAGGACCAGATTCTAAATAACCTCGTGGAGACTATAGGCAGGTTTGAAGAGACAATAAGAGCTGCTATAGCCATATGCACAGAGTGCACACGGGGAAAGCAAAGTGGGGGGGCAGACGGCAGGGAAAAGGGAGGGGTCAGGAAAGTCTCTGCAGAGGTGTGTTCGTCTTGGAGGATGAACAGAAGCTGAGACCATGAAGGACAGTCCAGACATGAAGACCAGTGCTCCAAAAGCACAGAGGTCTGTCACCTGGTGTTCCTGCTAGAAGCTGTGAGAGGACCAGGCATGGGTCTCAGAAGGGTAAAAGATTGTGGATTCCTTATCCCAGGCAGATAGGGTGGAGCCACCTCTGGCCGGATAGGTAGCAAGTGTTATCCAAGGTAACAGCTGATAAGGGGTCTGGTGAAATTAATCCATAGTCCCTGCTAAGAGGGCAGGAGCTTCCTGATGCACTGTTCTAAGGAGTGTCTGCCTCGGCAGCGAGAAGAGCAAGGGCCCCAGCCTGAGGACGTTCTCCCTGAGCTAACTCACCCATCAACACTAGATAAGAAAAGCAAAGGGAACAAGCATCTAAGTCAAGTGGAAGCAAGCCTCTAGTTTCAAATGCGCATGAAGTAAACATTCTTTTTAAGGAGTTTATGACTTGTATTTGAGGCTGACACAGTGTGAATGGCTGAGGCTGCTGGAACCAAAGAAAATAAGTCTGGGGCCAAGGTATTTACCTTACTGAGCAAGCAGACTTCCCACTAATCCCTCAAAACTGTCGTGGTCGTCACAAACCACGCAGCAGCTCTCAACTGCCACGTCACAGACAGGCCACTCCAGATGGAAAAGGTGTTTTGAGGTTTACCACTTTAATTCTTTGGAAAACATAACAGCAAACCACTTTCTTCTCAAGAAGTTAGTCTAGGCTTGCTAACCCTTTTATTTAACTGATTTTCCAAAACTGTAATTTGAAAAGAGTTTATGTGTCACCTGTTCAACTAATACATCATCACCCTTACTCTTGTAATCTAGGGCTGGCCTGGCAAAATCACCCTAGCACTATTTATCAAGGACTACGACTGAGTCTTCTAGGATTTGGACATTTTAGAGTGAAGCTTAAAAAGTGAAAACCTATAGCCCTGGCTGGGAGGCTTAGTTGGTTGGAGTGTCATTCTGCACACCAATGGTTGCAGGTTCAATCCCTGACCAGGGCACATACCTACATTGCAGGTTCAATCCCTAGCCGGGGCACACATGGGTGGCAACCAATCTCTCTCTCTCTCTGCAATAAAAATGTGAAACCCTATATATTTATATTCTTTTCCTTCAACCCAATAGCTCTGTCTACAACCACTGATTATGATTAAAGGGGAAAAAATAATAAATGGAATTGAATCTTCTCCCAAGCAACCATTACAGAATACATTTATTAATTGGGTGTATCAACATATTCCTTTGTATAATTCATTCCTATTATTATCCCACAGATAAATGGAAATTATTCTTCTGCCTGCCCACCTCCTAGTCTCTGCCCACCCAATGGAGAAGTTGCTAATCTAATTAGTCAGAGCCTGTGTTTCTTTGGGCCTGTTTTTGCCGGTGGGCAAGTTACTAAGCCTTAACATTGACACCTCCATTGGCCCTCTGTTCATACCCGCCCTCCCGCAGCAGTTCTGTGGGTCCCCAAAGCATGCCTGGACCTCAAAGCTGAGCCATTTGCTCTAGGGCAGCTTCCTGGGGTATTTTCATTAAAGTGTCATGATGATGCTTATCTGCTGTCCTTCTTGGTGTATACCTCTCCCTACCAACTGCCTTAGCCACAGATTAGGATAGGGAAGTTCATGGGTTCTGATTTATAATTCCCTCCTCACACCATTAAAGCCAAATGCTGGCCTGTCCCACAGTGTTTCTCAAGGTGTGGTCCACCTTCATTCGGAAGGTAATTAAGAATGCAGATTCCTGGGTGCCACTCCAGATCTGTAAATTCAGAATCTTTGAGGATGACACATGCATCTTAACAAGCTCCCCACAGTGATTCTTGTGCCAGTGGTCCTGTGCGTTTACTGGAAGCCCTCTGTAGACCCCACTGAAATGTTCAGGCTGGCTTCCCCTGTGCTTCAGCAAATCAAGGGAAGAGACTACACTTAGGCCAGAGATTGGAACTAAAAACAGCAGCATCTTCAACCCCACTCCTAACCAAGATGGAGCAGCAGTATCGACAAGTAGCCAGAGGCCTCTAAGAATCAGGTAAGTATTAAGGGTCCAGATTCAGGGCTCTGGGGTTCAGCTGCTCCTCTTTTGCCAATGACAGGAGTAGAGTTTTATTCTATTAAAAAAAACACTTTAAGCATTTCTTCTTCCACAGACTTCATCTCGCACAGATATATCCCTATTGGAGGCATTCTTTTCCATTCAATCTCTCTGCTAATGTTCCCCTTTCCTCTCCTAGTTCAAAAATAAAGTAGTTTTCCCATTTTAACCATTTACTAACCATCTCGATGATTAACATTAGTTTTTGAAAATAACTAAGAGAACTTGGTAACATTCAGCTCCTAAAATTAATTAAATATTGATTTTTCCAACTTCCTTGTTAAGATTTATGGCTTGGGCTTCCATAAACCCTACTGCAAGCAACGTAAGTGGAGGCGGGAACTCCAGGCTGAGCTTCAACTCCAGTAATTACAGTCTCTCTCTCTCTCTCTCTCTCTCTCTCTCTCTCTCTCTCTGCCTCTCTCTCTCTCATTCTCTCTCCTAACTCCCCGTGTAATTTTGTCCATATAAAAGCAAATTAGCCCTAGACAAAGGAAAATAGACTCCAGGAGGAAAAATGTTTTCTAAAATGCTTGTTAGTTCTTTAACTTAAAGGAATTGAATTTATTTTTATTTTACTTCGTATTGCAAAAGCTTGCACAGCTGTTCTGCCAACCCAGAAGTAGTAGAAACTGGCAAAGGGAGCCCCTAAATTTGGAGACTTCTGGTAAGAGTCATTTCACTGACCAACTGTATATTTACGTAATACCATTATTTTCAAAGGTACAATCTCGAGAGTTGTGCTTTTGCAGTTTTTATCCCAATTTGTGTGTGCACGTGTGTGATAATAAATAAAATAAAGACTACTGTTATGAAGTTCTGCCTCTCCAGAACCTAAGATCTTATGTTGTTCTGAAGAATAGGTATATGGATGGATGATTAGATAGACAGATAAATAGATAGATGATAGTTTAACACATATTTTATTTTTTTTAAACAGCAACTGTTGCTTAGATTAATTTTGTACTGCAAGGCATGCTTGCTGGGGGCATATGGTTTGGGGGTTGCCATAGAAAGCTAGATCTGGAGCTTTTCCTTAGAACAGAGCACTGTGTTTATGATTTAACTGTTAGTTAACAGCAGCATATGAGCGACTTCAAAACTCAAAGATGTAACCATGGTCTTTCACATTAGAAAACAATACCTGATTAAACGAGCTTGGTGTTCTGTACACTTTACCCAAACACCATGTCCTCTGATGTTTCACAAAAATAAAGGCAGGGTCCCTGCCCTGACGGGTGTGGCTCAGGGAGTTGGGTGTCATTCTGCAAAGCAAAGGGTCAGTGATTTGATTCCCCATTGGGACACAATCTTGGGTTGCAGACTCCGTCCCTGGTGGCAGCACATGCAAGAGGCAACCAATCAATGCTGTTCTTCCTCTCTCTCTCTCCCTCCCTTCCCCTCTCTCTAAACATAAATAAATATAATCCTTTTTAAAACTGCAGGGCCTCAATCACGCCCTCAGAATCACCACAACACACAAGTCTAGGAGGGCCATCTCCACTGCAGTCTTGGGCCACGCCCCCCCCCACGCCCCCAGTGCCCTGTGCTTCTGGCCCCAAGCGCCCTGCTCTGCAAGAGCACACACAGTCTCCGGCACCCTGGCTATTTAGCAGCGGGGCGGGGGGGGGGGGGGGGGGGGGGTGGTTAATTCAGGTTTGCTGTTCCAGCCTGTGTCGAGCACAGTGCCAGCCACAAAGCAGGAGCTCAACAAACGTCTACTGAATTAAGAAAGAATAAATCAATGGTGAACATATCACACACCGGGCCTTGCTGCACACTTTTGGACACATATTTGAGGAAATAATTTTTTTTATTTTAAAATGCAGCAGAAGAAGATGGGGGTGGAATTTGCTTTAGTACCTTCAGAGGTTTAATTTCTTTTCCTTGCCCAATATGACTCACTTCTGCTAACTGAAAATTTTAGCTAATAGTGACTGTAATATTCTGCCACTTTTATAAATTTTCATTTTCAAAATGAGTTCTAAATGAAGCATAAGCCCCCAAAGCAGCTCAAAAGCTCTACATTACATAGAAAGGGAGGAGAGCACTGGGTAGTGAACAATTCTATTTAATAACAAGTGAGTGTCATTCTGACGCACTCCCACCTGCTGGTCCCTCAGTGACCCAGAAGTACGTAAAAGCACAGGACTTAACTGGGTAAAATGACTCCTGATTACAAAACTGTTGTGCAGTCTAGAACTTATCTCATTCTTTCTGGAGGACAATCAGTCTAGCCAGCTTCAGCAACCAAGTGTCTATTATTGTACTCATCAAGCTGAATAATCATTGCATTTCCATTTCTCTCTCTTTCCAACTTGTTAGCCTCCTGAGGCTGATATTACATTCCCAGGGCCAAACACAGTTCCTGGCACATAGTAGGTGCTCAAAAAATAACAATCCTACACTACTCTCAGCACAGTGCAAAGTCACCGAACTGAGAGGGACCTTAGCAATAATTTAGTATTCTTCCTTTTTGGGATCAGAATAGTGAGAAACAGAAGCAAAATAAGTGCCCAGGGTCACAACATTGTAGCATGCTTTTCTTATATATAACTTTTCTTCTCTTAGTGCATAAGTCATGGGGAAGATCTAAGAGGCTTGAGACAACCTTTTCATGCCTCAAGAGCTTCTTCTAAGTAAATATGCCTTTTAGAAGTTACAGAACATTAACCTGCAACACATATTAAATGGAATGTAGGGGCTTTCACTGGGTCAATTTATTTGGAGGGGTGGAGCCCATCGTTCTCAAATTCAAGTCATAAATTTAACATCTCTCATTTTCTTCGGGGGCCTTTACGGGCTTCTTAAAGTCGCAGGTAAGAGGTCCAGCTTCTCATCCTTCACATTAAACCAAACTGTAAAATTATAATTTCAGTACTTTAATTAAGTCTGTGTGAGTCCACCAAATTAATCTGTAGCAGCAAAATAAGATAAAAATTTATGGAAGCACAGGGACCAATTTGTCATCCCATTACTCATAATTAATTCAATGAGCTTTTACTTCCATGTCTAGGTGACAAATATTAAAATCCCTGATTGACCGCATCATATTAGAAATGGGACTTTCCTCTATCCCTAAATTAGCCTTCTAAAGATCTAGAAATATATTCTCTCCCACGGGTGAAAAATGGGCTTTGCTGCCAGTGCGATTTGGGAGGAAGAGTGGAGTGCCAAGCGCCAGTGGGCTGCAGGGACATGGGAAGAACTGGGGTCCCCAGTGCCACCCCAGCCCCAGGCGAAGCTCCCTGAGCCGGCCTCCACCTCCCAGGCAGCCCGAGTTGCTAATTCACCCGCACCTCCCAGTTCAGGCGGAGTTTCCCTCAGGCCTCCATTTCCTCTTCTGACTCTCCCCCCAAGCCCAGGCTACTTGAGAATGGAACCTGCTGATTAACGTGTCAAGAGTCATAGACTCTCCTTAATGGACAAGCTCTCTGCCTGCTCGGGGCACTGACTCCGCCTGCGGAACGAGGCGGGAGCTGCCACAACGTGTTAAGTCACTAACACAGGCCAGCACTCGGTAATGACTTCAAGTGCCCTGCAGAATAGACAGCCTCTGGATTCACAGGCTTCTCTTTGCGCTGCCTGCAAAGTCTCCTGTGCTCTCCGGCCTGGCACCTCGCTGTCGGCCAAGGCTCTGTGGCAGGAAAGCAAAAAGGCAGACTCCTCCAGATACCAAATGAGGCCTGAACGTCCAGATGAAGGTTCTGACACACTTGACTGCCTACTCACGGGTGCGAATCTGTCTTTTCAGATGTTTTCCAAAGCAATTTTCTAAAGTGGGTCCTTAAAACATATCAGGATGAATCATTAAGACATTTCAGGATGGAAGGGAGAGGATGCTGAAGTGAATGGAAGGCATCCTTATCTAATGCCTCCAAGTGAGTGGGTAAACTCAAGCAGCAACGCCTCAGAAACCACGTCCCTCTCAAGTCCCTATCACGCATCCCCGAATAACTCCCCACGCCCTCAGCGACAACCCCTTCTTTAAAAGGGGAGATCAGTATCTTTTGTGTCGTCTCCAAACTCCTTTGTACATGAAATACAACCTGGGTGGTGCTGATATATCTCAGGAACCTCAAGGCTTCTTCATCCAGGGACTGGGCAGGGCCTGCCCAAGGCTGGAGGTCTATGTGCCACCGGGGACCCTGCGGGAGAGAAAACACAGGTCGGTGTGTAAGGGGTGAGGAGTTGGAGGGTGGGGTGGGGAAGACCTGGCATACGAGACAGGCAGCAAGGCTGCCCCAGCCACCTGGAAAACAAACTCGTCCTCCGTGGTGGGGAACGGTTGCCCGGGAGCTGGTTCAGAGCTGCTGTCCTTAAGACCACATCAATCACCGGGAGATAAATGAGGCTGAGAAAGCCCAGCTACCAGGCTAAGCAGGAGATTGCAAAGACTTCCCTGGGGACGTCTGACTCTCCTGATCAAAGGCAAACTCCACTTGACCCCATGCAGCTCTCTGCTGCAGCTCTGTACTACACAGTGCTGCTCCCCTTCCAGAAGAAGCACTCCCTTATCGACTCTGGTTTCCAAAGCTCAGTGCGGCAGAGATATGCGCCTCCCTGAGGGTCAGTTTTGTTCTCTCAGCACCAGGAGGCCTGAAACCTTGGGCACTTGGGCACCTTCCCCAGCACAGGGAGACAGGTGGTGCTGCAGGGAGGCGCGGTGGCGCCACCCAGTGTCCCAGAGCCCCTGGCCTCTGGGATCTCGCACATGTAGATGAGGTGCCCAGAGCTATCACCAGCCGAGCTGGCAAGAGTGGCCTGCCAGCACGTGAGGCAGTCCCCACCTTTCATCAGAGGACTTGTGGGGCTCCTATGAGCACAGTGGCAGAAACAGGCCCTGAGACCCCTTTTGTAGCAAGAGTGGGGTGGTGGACGAAGAGCTGAGGGAAGGCAGTGGTCTAGAAGAAACACAAATGGGGATTCTGCCAGTCAACAGGAAGCAATAATTGGTGAAGTCCCAGCTAGAGCTCCAAGTTCCCCACCTACAGTTCTCACCACCTGGAAACTTCCCGGAGGCTCTCTGCGATTCCAGGGAGTGAGCCCGGCTCACAGTGGAGGGCAGGAAAGGGCTGGGGGGCCCGGAGAAGCTCAGCAGCTGGCAGGGTGAAGGCCTAGTGTCAGGAAACACTTGGGTGTCTTGGCACAGGGGTTCCTGCAAAGTACTTGGGGTGGTCCCCTAAACTCCCTTTTATGGTGAGGAAGGCAGCAGGGGAGGGTTCTGGAAACAAGACAAAGGGACCCTTCATGTATGTTCGTGTTCTTCAGTTAGGTATTGTCATGGGCTGAATGTCTGTGTCGCCTCCCCCAATTCATATGTGAAATGCTAATGCCCAACGTGATATCAGGATGTGGGGCCTCCGGGGTGTAATTAGGTCATGAGGCGAGCCCTCATGAATGGGATCAGTGCTCTTAGAAAAGAGACCCTACAAAGCTACCTCGCCCCTCCCTCCGTGTGAGGACACACGCAGAAGTAGGCACTCTACAGCCCTGAACCGAACCGTGTGTCACCCTGATCTGGGGCTTCCAGCCTCCAGAACCGTGAGCGATAAATTTCTGTCGTGTGTAAAACCACCCAGACTATGGTATTGGTGCATTGTTATGGGGGCCTGGACAGACTCAAACAAGTATGATGGCAGGAACTGCCTCTCGTCTGGGGTTCAACTGAAAGCAAGGAGAAGTGGGGGAGCCAGCAGGTTAGTCAGTGTGAGGGCAGGTGCATGGGCTGGGGGAGAGGAGTGCCCTCTGGACTGAAGGTCTGAGATAAATGCCAACTCTTCGTGAGTGATGAGGGGTTGTCCAGGCCAGGCGTTATCGACTCACTACACAGAGTCCCTGGGGCCCACGGTAGACCGTCCAGACAGATCTGCACTGCCTTGCCGAGGCCGAGTGCCCTGCAGGCCCTGCAGACTTAAAGAACCCTCCCTCATTTCCCATGGGCTGCGCCTTTCTCGGGAAGCCTTTAGACAGGGCCAGTTTCAGGGGCTTGCGACCTGCCCGTCTCGGGAAGGCCCGTGCTCAGCTTCATGCTCTGCCGGCACTGACTCGAAACTCTTAATTTCGAACAAGAGGCCCCGCATTTTTATTTTGCACTGGGCCCCACAAACTACACACTCAGAGTGCCCTGAGGGGCACCTTTTCTGTAAAAACAGCCTTTTCTTATAGCTATTCTTGTTCTGTGAAAGTTGAACAGGCGGACATTCTATTCAGAGAGAGCCTGAGAACATTCGCTCATATATCTTCCCAGTTAATGTCTTCTACCCGCCCTGTTTCTTTTCCTTTCTTGTGAATTTATTTTGGGGGGAATACAGGGGGGAGGTCAGGAAATTCCACTGCCCCCACACTTCTTTTTTCCTTCTCTGAATTAGGTGTTGATTATCATTTTGTCAAACAGTATTCATAGAGCGCCAGCTGCTCTGCTCCAGGCCAGGCCAGCACAGACGTGAGTATAACCTGGACTCCGCCCCCAACCCCAGGTGCGCCCCGTCTGGTGGGGGCGGTGCCTATCTATGTACAGAGTAACTTTGATGGAGAAATGCTGGAACACTAGGGGGCGCTGTTCTTTCCAGGAGACTCTTTAATTATAGAATCATCAATGATAAGCACATTCAAATACAAATGCCTCCTAGTTTTGCAGGGTCGCATTCTTTTGCATCAGAGGACAATGAGTGACTTCCCAAGTTGCCTCCTGCCAGCCTGTTTAGGCCTGGCGGTTAAAGCTTCCTGTGCCTTTGTCCCAGGACCACTCACAGGTGCCCCAGCATCTGGCCCCAGAGACTCTTGATGAAAATGGTAAGGTTCACCCATCATGGTTTCCCTCTAAATCAGGCCACACAGTTTCTGTTGCAACTCCTCACCTCCGGCTGCGGCTCACAAGCAGCCTTAGAGAGAAAGTAAACAAGTGGTCATGGCTGTTTCCAATAAACTCCATTCACAACAACAGGCAGCAGCAGGCTGGACTTGGCCCGCAAGACTGTAGTGTGCTGACCTCTGCTCTATTTGATTATAATTTGGAGGCAGACCAGCCTGGAAGACAGTGTTTATTTGAAATAAGGCAAAAGAGACAGATTATGATATCTAGATTATCACCAACTTTGGCATCTGGGTGACTCAGGCAAATACCAGTGAGGGTCGCTGTCGGATCAGTGGGCTCCTTCCAACTGGCTAATTTGGGAGGAATTTAATGGACTATCTACAAAGGTGCAGACAGGTTTTGAGGAAACCAAGAAAGAACAGTGTATTAATATTTGAGGCTGGCAGCACCAAAGAGCCCTTGTAAACCATAAGCCTGAAGGAACAAGGAGGAGGAGGGACTTTCGGAACCAGACAGGAAAACTATACAGAGAAGGCACGCAACAGAGGAACACAGCCCATCCTATCACACCCTGTCCTATTGCACAGCCCCCTAACTGTCAAGCCCAACAGGAAGGCAGAGGAGAGGGAGGCTGTGGTTGGTTGACACGGGTCAGTCTCCCAGGGCGCAGGGCAGGAGGATCAGGGTGCAGAGTGGATCTCGAGGGGCCGATGGAAGTTCTTCACAGCATCCACTGGTGAGTCAATATGGTGGAACTATAGAGCTATCTCAAGGATCCATACACAGTATCCTTCTTGCCATCTGCTCTTTCTTATTTCCAACTGAGCACTGGCCACTACACTATGGCTGGAACAATGAATAATATAAGGTGAGAGACCTAAGGTGGAGATATCCAAAGTGCTTTGGCTGAGCTGTTTAAAAAACATTCTGCATAAAGTAATGTTCTTATTGGAATCGGTCTGACAGTAATTTGTGATTATTTCCCCAAGGAAAATGCTAGCTTTTATCATCTCTTTCAATTATCATTCATCTTAGTTCTGTAGTGCACACATCAATATTTGTCCTTCGAAAAAATCCCACAAACAGAATTCTCTGAGCACCTTAAAACACCAATGGCCAGTCTTTAATAGAACAAGGCAAAGTATATTTTTCTTTTAAAAAAAGTATCATTATGACTTTGATAGAGCAGGCAGTTAGGCAGGCATGAGCAGAGCAGGAATGAATGGCCAGGTCCAGAATGTCACCAGGGCAAAAAGTTCCTGGTGCCTAGCAACAGGCAAAACTGGGAAAACAAGTATTATAGGCGAAAACCTCACTCCCAGGGTGGCCCTTCCTCCCCTAGCACGTTGCTAGTCATGTGGTTTAGACCCCTGCCCTTTCACATCGGTGGTCTTCTAGTTTAGACCCCTTAGAGGAGGAACAAGGGGCCGGAGAAGAGCCTCATAAGATGCCCATTCAAGCTCTCACATGACCACTTCCACAGGAATTAAGCCCTCAGGTCAATGAGGTTCTGATAGGCATCAGGTAATCTTAGGAACAAAGCCTCAGGTCTGCTAACCATACAGACAGAGTTTTGGTCAAATTAGGGATAACATCAAGGCCTCAGCTGTGTTTTAGCTCCAGGCCCAGAAAAAGCAACAAAACCAGACAAGTGAGGACAGCTGACAAGAAGACCAGGTGTAATGACTAATGTCCCTCTCCCCTAGCGCTGACCAATCAGTAGAGACCATGAACCTGAAAAGGCACACCTGGAAAGCCAATGAATATTCTATCAAGATCCTCTCTGAAACCTCCCCTAAAATTCCTGCCTTGGAAACAATATAAAAACTCTTAAGGCTCCCTCCTCTCCCCCACCAACCCTTCCCCCCACCCCCTCCACCCTAGCATGCCAGCGCCTCCCCCCACCGCCTTCTTTCCTCAGGGTACACTCTCTGAAGCACCCCCCACCCCGCCCCGCCCCGGACATTCCCCCTTCTTCCCTCAGGCTGTTGTCTTTGGTTTCTTTCTCCAAAGTTCCAAGAGCCCTTCTTTTGCCTCTGTAACTTATTTCCTGGGTCCCTGAAGCCCATATGGCTCAGTCCTTCTACTTCGGTGACTCCCTAAATTAATTTCCTTGCTCTGAATTCTTTCTTAGCCAAACTCAAGGACTGAGGTCTAACACACTAACTCTGGGGTTAGCAATTTAACGCAAATAATCTTCTAAACTCCAGGGTACACCGTTATCCATGTACTCCAAATATCAAGTGGCCAGAATGATGCTTCACCCATCACTGCTCGGAGGTAGGAACCTGGATTCACAGTCCTGTCTGTGCCCCCACCTCCTCTTCCGAT